GAAAGTACACGGCTCCGCACATCCTTATAGCCACGGGTGGGCGCCCGGCCGTGCCCCCCGACAGCCAGATTCCCGGTGAGCCTGACGGAACCCCCAGGATGCCTGGAGAGAGGGGCTTTTGGGGGGTAGAGGTGGGAAAGGGGGGGCTGGTGGGGCACGTTCTCCTCCTGAGGGCTGCGACAGGAGCTCTGCTTTGCAGGTGCCAGCCTGGGAATAACCAGCGACGGCTTCTTCGACCTGGAGGAGCTGCCCAGGTAACGCCGGGCTCACCCCCCGCTGCCACCGGCGGCTCCGCCCGCCCCACCCCTGGTTCCGCCCCTCCCCCCCTGGCGCCGGCTACATCGCGGTGGAAATCGCGGGGATCCTCTCCACGCTGGGCTCCAAGTCCTCCCTGCTGATCCGCCGAGACAAGGTGGTGCCACCAGCATGTCCCCCACGTCCCAGCCCTGTGGGGGGGCTGTGGTCGGAGCAGAATTGCTGGGGAGGGGGTTTCTGGTTGTCAGCTCCCTTCAGCTAGTAAAGGAGGGTCCGAGTCAGACCAGGAGGGTGGCATTAGGCTGTTTGTGTGAGGAGAGGCCAGGGGGGAGCAGACGGGGTGTTTCTGGGCGAGAAGAGGAGCATCGTCGTGCTGCCGGCTGTGTTTCGGCAGCATCCTCCTGCTCGCCCGGCATTTCTGCAGCGCTGTGTGTCTCCACAACCATTTTCTTGAGCTTTATTTCATGTCACGACTTGAAAAAGAAAAGAAAAAAAGAAAATTAAAGGAAAAACAGAAAAAAACTTCACCATTAACCAGAAGTGCCCCAAACCTCTCGGGGGCTGGATGGGGCACGGGCACTGGGAAATGCTGGTGGAGGGGCTGCCAGGCAGCGCCTTTGCCCCGCAGCCCCCAGTCTGACGGCGTTTGGGGGTCCCTGCCCAGGTCCTGCGGACCTTCGACTCCATGATCAGCTCCAACTGCACCCAGGAGCTGGAGAACACCGGGGTGGACGTCTGGAAGCACACGCAGGTGAGAGGGCGAGCAGAGCAGCCCGGGCGGCTTGTCCCGTCCCTCCGGGCGTGGGGGACAGAGGCAGGGCATGGGGACGCCGGCGGTTCGGGCACCGCTGCCTGGTGCCAGGCAAAAGCTGTCAGCACCTTCTCCCCTGCACTGGCTCTGGTTGTTCCCCACAGGTCAAGATGGTCACCAAGTCCCCCCAGGGGCTGCTGGATGTGACGGTGGCCCCCGCACCGGGCGCAAGCCAACGGAGGGAGTGATCCGGGACGTGGACTGCCTGCTGTGGGCCGTGGGGCGGGAGCCC